AAGACTTGGTTATTCCAGCTCGCAGGACTGGCCTAGGGTAATTTTTAGAGGGGTTTTAATCAATATTTTAAATTGGACAATTCTTTAATATTCTTTTTAATTAATTTTAAATCTGTATTGTTATTTGTGTATTTTAATTGATTGTCCGCCGCCCTGAGTCCTACGAGGAGAAGGGCGGGATATAAATCTAAATAATAAATAAATAAATAAATGCTGGCTCAGGAATTCTGGGAGTTGAAGTCCACCAGTCATGAGGGGGCCATAGGTCCCCCATGCTGGCTCAGGAATTCTGGGAGTTGAAGTCCACAAGTCATAAAGGGGCCACAGTTCCCCATGCTGGCTCAGGAATTCTGGGAGTTGAAGTCCACCAGTCATAAAAGAGCCAAGGTTGTCTACCCCTGCCCTAGCCTTAGAGCATCCTTCTCGGAGTCCCAGGCCGACTGTCAGAGGCAGGATGTTAGGCTGCGCTGGAAGGCCAGGAGGGCTGGGGCTCTTCTTCTCCTGGATCCTGTCTGACAAAAGACTTCCAGCTGCCCGTCATCCGAGGGAACGAGTAGGAGGGGCTGGACTCCCTGGAGTAAGACAACCCCTTAGGTAGGGATGCCAGTCGACCCCTTTGAGTCGCTTGCGAATTCATCTCCTGGTTTTCCTGTGCGATAACTGGAAACCCCGAGGAGCAGAGAAATACACCGAAACCTGGAAGTTCACGTCCCCGCCTGCCATTTTGGAAAGAGGTGGCGTAGAGAGGAAGCCCCCCCCCCAGGCTCAGCAGGGAGAAAGCATCTTCTCCAAGCTGCACCCCTAACCACGGCTGGGCCTTCTGGGGGGCTCACCGGACCTCTTCTGATTCCAGGTCCGGAAGGCTGAAGGAGCAGGAGTGTTACTGTTACCAGATCTTCATGGACAAGCAGGAGAATTTGGTGGTGCCCAACGTCCAACAGCTGGTGGAGCATTCCTTCCTCACCTCAGACCTCAAGCTAGTGGAGGTGAGTCTTCCTCTTCCTCCTCTTCCTCCTCCTCCATCAATGCTCCACCCCCCCCACTTCAGCAGCATTGCTCTCTGCCACATTGGTGGAGAGCTTGTGGCGTGCTTTCTCTCACTACCGTGTTTCCCCCCCCCCCCAAAGAGCTGGTCTTATATATCTACCCAGGGCCACAGGTTGGGGGTGAACTTGACAGAAGCAGAACTTGTGCCAGTGACCTCTGACCTCCGTGGGGGGCTGCTGGTCCCCAGATGGGGCCGTTCACATTTGCCTTTCTCCCATCTAGATCCCGTCCTGCTTTATTCTCCAAATGCCTCGTTTCGGGAAGGAGTACAAAATGTTCAACAAAATCATCCCTTCCTTGGAGCTGGACATCACTGACCTGCTGCTGGACAGTAAGTCATCTCTGTAGAAATGCAGATGTAAATAATCCATTCAGGAAGGTTGGCGGCCCCCAGCTAGAAGATTAAGAAGACAAAGACACCTAAAATCTACATACCCCACCCAAACTCTTAAGACAGGACATAATAGGATTAACCCACAGATGCCAAAGGGTCACACTCAAACAGAGGTTGAGCTACATGACACAGGAAATACAAAGCCTTAAACAGGAACAGGAAACAACTCCAAACAAAAGCCCAAGAAGGTATAAAAACCCACTCCCTACTACAGTGATGGCGAACCTTTTAGAGACCGAGTGCCCCAAAACCGCCTCCCCACCCCTGTCCCTTCTCCGCCGTGCCCACTGGGCCGCCCACCACCTCCATGGCCCACCACAGATCCCCCAGGTAGCCCAGCAGCGCCATGGCGGCCACGCCCTCCACCTGTGCCCCGCAGCATCATGTGGGCCAAGCCTGGGGGCGACTCTCCTCCGGGGGGCTGCTGGTGAGGAGGGGGCCGTGGGAGGAGGCGGGGCTGGGGCGACGGTGCGTGTGCCCACAGAGAGGGCTCCGAGTGCCGCCTCTGGCACCTGTGCCATAGGTTCGCCACCACTGCCCTACTACATGTGCTCCCTCTCTCTTTTCTTCCAGAGCCATCTTCCTGTCTGGCTCTCCTCTCCAATAAACTGCAACCTTCTTTCTAAAGCAGTCTCCATTTTGATTGTTCCCAGCTTGGACTGGACCCCGATGAAGACTTTTCCTCCAACAGTCATTTTCCTATATACACAACGGCACACATTGAAACGACGCCTCACTCTCGAAAGGGGGAATGCCACCCACCACACAATGTCACCCTCCCAAGATAACACAAATAATATAACAAAAGCAGCAGAACCCAAAAACGCCAGGTGATACAAAAACGACACTAAAACTATAGATATAAATACAGGTAGTCCTTGACTTAACGGCTCCAATGGAGCCCAGAATTTCTGTTGCTAAGTGAGTTTTGTTAAGTGAGCTTTGCCTCATTTTACAACCTTTCTCGCCTCGGTTGTTAAGTGAATCCCCGCGGTTGTGAAGTTAGCAACCCGGCTGTGAAGCAAATTTGGCTTCCCCGTGGATTTTGCTTGTCAGAAGGTCGCAAAGGGGGATCCACAGGATCCCAGGACACCGCGACCGTCATAAACACGAGTCAGTTGCCAAGCGGCTGAATTTTGATCACGTGACCCCAGGGACGCGGCGACCGTCATAAATAGGAGTCAGTTGCCAAGCCTCTAAATTTTAAATCATGCCAACACAGGGATGCTGCAAGGATTGTAAGTATGAAAGACGGTCCTAAGTCCCTTTTTTTCACTGCCGCCGTAACTTTAAATGGTCGCTAAATGAGCTGTTGTAAGTCAAGGACTACCTGTATTAATCACCGTCCATTTTGAATACGTAACAGAAAAAGGAGTCCTGAGAGTTAACCAGGTTTATTTGGGAAGGAAGAGAAGGAGAAGGGAGTTGGAAGGGACTCCCAACAACTGGGAGAGATGCCCAACCTTGGCAGTATGAAGACCTGTGGACTTCCAGAAGTCTTAAAAGTTGTCAAGGCTGGACATCCCTGCCCTAAACCAGAAGTCCCCAACCTTTTGGGCACCAGGGACTAGCTCCATGGAGAATGGTTTTCCCACGGACCAGAGACTGCGTGGTTTTTGTGTACTTCCTGCATTCCACGGATGGGGCTTTGCTTGTTTGTGCGGACCGGTTGCTGGCATGTCGCGGCCCGGTACCAGCCCACGGACCGGGGGGTTGGAGACCCCCGCCCTAAGCCCCTCGCACAGGTGTGTAGTCACAAAGGGCAAGGCTCAAACTGCAAGCTGGGTGAGGGCCGAGCTCCTGATATGCAGTCACGTGACTGAAGAAGGAAAGGGAGGAACTTCAGAATTGGGTCGTTGTATATAGTATGTTTTAGGTGTGTGTCATGTATGTGTTTCATTTTGAGAGCGGGCAACTAAATTTCATTTTTTATGTGTGCTGTTGTGCCCACAGTAAAAAAATGACAATAAAGGTTATCTTATCTTACTACCTTACCTTACCTTATCTTATCATCTTATATCTTATCATATCATCTTATATCTTATCATATCATCTTATATCTTATCATCTTATATCTTATCATTTTATCTTATCTTCATCTTATATCATATCTTATCATCTTATATCTTATCTTATATCTTATCATCTTATATCTTATCTTATATCTCATCTTATCTTATCATCTTATATCTTATCATCTTATATCTTATCTTATCTTATCTTATATCTTATCTTATATCTTATCATCTTTTATCTTATCATCTTATATCTTATCTTATATCTTATCTTATCATCTTATCATCTTATATCTTATCATATCATCTTATATCTTATCATATCATAGCTTATCTTATCTTATATCATAGCTTATCTTATCTTATATCTTATATCTTATCTTATATCTTATCTTATCATCTTATATCTTATCATCTTATATCTTATCATCTTATATCTTATCATCTTATATCTTATCTTATATTATCATCTATTGGTCCTGAAACATGCTCTGTATAAGATAACAGGAGCTCCCTAGGCAGCAATCATCGTTAGAATGGCTGCCACGATGAGGACTGGAGACTTGCCCAATCTCTGTGGTCCGAAAGGAAATTTTCTGAGGTTCCCCCCTTTTTTCACTGACCCACCCAGGTTTCTGCTGGTGGCCTCTGGGAGGAGCGACTCGGGAGTGAGATGCTGTCCATCTGGCTGGGGCCACCAAGAGGCCTCCGAGGTCTTGAGGTCTGGCCTCTTGTGAATGGCGGGGAGAACGGGAGAAAGTTTCAGCTGCTGATTTTTGCATTCGCACTTCAGGTCCCCGGGAGTGTTTCGTGTGCGGAGATATTGCCACCCAGGAGTGCTCGGCCTGCTTCAAAGACAAGATGTTTGCTGGCACAGGGCTGAAGCAGTTTTGCGACTCGTGCTGCACTCAGGTGTGTGCTGTGCTTTTTTTTTTTGCTTTTGAGGAGTGGCGCGGAGGATCTCGGCCGGGCCAGTTCTGACGTTCAGGGCGGGTTTGTTTGCACCAAATCCCCAGATGACAACCCCTCTTCCCAACAAATCCTCACCAAGCTGGTCCTCTCCTGCGTGGTGGAGTCGATTGGTTAAAAGTGGCACAGTTTAGGGCAAGGGTGTCCAACCTTGCCAGTTTTAAGACCTGTGGACTTCAACTCCCAGAATTCCCTTCTTAAACCTGGTTTACACATTCTTTGCCAAATTCAGCAGTCTTGTAATAATAATAATAGCAATAGTAATAATTATTATTGATCATCACACAGTCAGCCAGATGTTCAGACTGGATTTGGCATTTTTGTCTACCTATTGAGTCCTTACCCAGGACCTGGGATAGGCAGATGTGGATGTTTGATGGTATTACAGATCTCGTCGCAGGATGGAAGCAGTTCCTAGTAAGGCCGCCTTTTGCAATTGACTAATGGCGAATCTGTCAATGCCGATGATGGTGTTCAAGTGGTGCTCCAGTTGTTTTGGGATTGCACCCAAGGCGCCTGTTACTATTGGTACCACCCTTGCTTGCTTTTGTCACAGTCTTTCTATTTCTATTTGTAGGTCTTTATATTTTATTACTATTGGTACTACCTTTGCTTGCCTTTGCCACAGTCTTTCTATTTCTATTTGTAGGTCTTTGTATTTTGTGATCTTCTCCAGTTCTTTCTCGACTATTCTGCTGTCTCCAGGCACTGCCACGTCCACTATCCAGACTTTTTTTTGTCTTTCTTATCAACAATTGTTAAGTCCGGGGTGTTATGTTGCAGGTGCTTGTCTGTTTGAATTATTATTATTGTTGTTGTTATTATTATTATTATTATTAAGCATTGCAAAATATTTTAAGAAACTGCAGCTTCCTGCAATAACTCCAGCAATGCCACAAAAAACTGCGCTACTCGGAACATCTTACATTTTAAGGAGGTACCTGGTTGACACCTAGGATGCTGGCAGCAGCCCGTGTTAACCATCAGCACCAGCCAATTTGAATGTTCAGTTGACTGAGGTTCATGTTTAATGAATAAAAGATAACAACAATAACAATAATAATAATAATAGAGTTGGAAGGGACCTTGGAGGTCATCTAGTCCAACCCCCTGCACAGGCAGGAAACCCTACACCATTTCAGACAAATGGCCGTCCAGTCTCTTCTTAAAAACTTCCAGTGTTGGAGCATTCACCGCTTCTGGAGGCAGGTGGTTCCACTGGCTAATTGTTCTCACTGTCAGGAAGTTTCTCCTTAGTTCCAGGTTGCTTCTCTCCTTGATGAGTTTCCACCCGTTGCTTCTTGTCCTGCCTTCAGGCGCTTTGGAGAATAGCTTGACTCCCTCTTCTTTGGGGCAGCCCCTGAGAGACTGGAACGCTGCTATCATGTCCCCCCTCGTCCTTCTCTTCGTTAAACTGGACATACCCAATTCCAGCAACCGTCCCTTACAAACCTTCCTTTTATTTTTTTTTAAGGTGTCTCACAGATTTCATTCTCCACCTCACAAGCCACCAGAGCTTTTTTTGTCCCAGGGACACTCTGTGGTGTGTGTGTGTGTGTGTGTGTGTGTGTGTGTGTGTGTGTGTGTGTGTGTAAATCCTGTGTTCCCAATATCAAGGCCTCCTGCCTCAGAAACTTCACAAGTCCTCCCTCGTTCACTTTCAGGCTCACTCCCATTACCAGCGAAGAGGCCATCAGACGACAAGGCTACGCTTCCCCAAGGAATTCGCTCGGGATGGGGTGCGGGTACCCCGGGAGAAACTGGAGCTGTTTGCCGTTCTCTGCATCGAGACCAGCCACTACGTGTCCTTTGTGAAATACGGGCCGGAGAAAGAGAACTGGATGTTCTTTGACAGCATGGCAGACCGACATGGTGTGCCATTTGTTCCTTCCTTCCTTCCTTCCTTCCTTCCTTCCTTCCTTCCTTCCTTCCTTCCTTCCTTCCTTCTCATCTTCTTTCTTCTCTCCTTCCTTCCTTCCTTCCTTCCTTCCTTCCTTCCTTCATTCATTCATTCATTCATTCATTCTTATCAAATATGTTTGCTGCCTGGAGTTACTTACAAATAAAGGCAGGGCATGAATTTTTCCTCCACTGATCTTCCCCCATAGCAACAATTCTGTCAGGTGGGTTGGGCTGAGAGAATCAGCTTTCGTGCCTAAGGTGAGACTAGAACTCGCTGTCTCCCGGTGATTTGGCCCAAAGTCACCCAGTTGGCTTTTAGGTCTAAAAGACTACAACTCACGGTCTCCCAGCGTTTGGCTCAGAGTCGCCCAGCCAGCTTTCATTTTAATTGGCCCAAAGTCACCCAGCCGGCTTTCATGCTTAAGGCAGAACTAGAACTCACCGTCTCCTAGTGATTGGCCCAAAGTCAGCCAGCTGGCTTTTATGTCTAAAAGACTAGAACTCACGGTCTCCCAGCGATTGGCTCAAAGTCGCCCAGCCAGCTTTCATGTCTATGGCGGGGCTAGAACTCACTGCCTCCTGGCAATTGGTTCAAAGTCACCCAGTTGGCTTTCATGCTTAAGGTGGAACTAGAACTCATCGTCTCCTGGTGATCGGCCCAAAGTCAGCCAGTTGGCTTTTATGCCTAAGGCAGGGCTATAGAACCCATTGTCTCCCAGTGATTGGGCCACAGCCACCCAGCTGCCTTTTATGTCTAAAAGACTAGAACTCACGGTCTCCCAGCGATTGGCTCAAAGTCGCCCAGCCAACTTTCATGCCTAAGGCGGGGCTAGAACTCGCCGTCTCCTGGTGATTGGCCCAAAGTCACCCAGTTGGCTTTTGTGCCTAAGGCAGGACTAGAACTCACCATCCCCTGGTGATTGGTCCAAAGTCCCCCAGCCAGCTTATACGCGAAAGGTAAAACTAGAATTCCCCGACAGCTGCTTTTAATAATAATAATAATAATAATAATAATAATAATAATAATAATAATAATAATAATAACAACAATAACAATAATAATAGTAATAAAGTTGGAAGGGACCTTGGAGGTCATCTAATCCAACCCCCTGCTCAGGCAGGAAACTCTATACTATTTCAGACAAATGGCTGTCCAGTCTCTCCTTAAAAACCTCCAGTGTTGGAGCATTCACCACTTCTGGAGGCAGGGAGTTCCACTGGTTAATTGTTCTCATTGTCAGGAAGTTTCTCCTTAGTTCCAGGTTGCTTCTCTCCTTGGTTAGTTTCCATCCGTTGCTTCTTGTCCTGCCTTCGGGCGCTTTGGAGAATAGCTTGGCTCCCTCTTCTTTGGGGCAGCCCCTGAGATACTGGAAGGCTGCTATCCTGTCCCCCCTCGTCCTTCTCTTCATTAAACTAGACATCCCCAATTCCAGCAGCCTTTCCTTATATGTTTTAAGCTCCAGTCCCCTAATCATCTTTGTTGCTCTTCTTTTTAGCCTGGTGTGTTCCCCACTAGACCAAGCCTGCCTGTCTGGGCCAGGGCTCCTGCTCCCTTAGGGGGGTTGGGGGGCACCTCTTCAGCTCCAGACACTGGGGTGCCTGAGGGCTTTGGGGGGGATCTCTGGAAAGCAGTCTCCCTCTTTCCCCAGGCAAGGCGCATGGATGGGCCAAAAGGGGAGCCTAGAAACGAAACGCTGAGCCCTCCACAATCCATCCATCTCTCTCTCTCTCTCTCTCTCCTCTCCACTCAGGTGACGAGAACGGCTACAACATCCCCACGGTCACGCTCTGCCCGGAAGTTGCCAAGTACCTGGAGATGCCCGTGTCCTCCCTGGCCATGGAGCAGCCCCGGGACATGGAAGGCGTGGCCAAGCGCCTCTTCTGCGACGCCTACATGTACATGTACCAGAGCAAGAAGATGGCCCTTTACAAGTGACGCCCACGCCGGAGGCACCCGGCCTCGTGTCCCCAGGAAAAAAAGAACTTCACTTCCTTGTCCGCAGCTCTTCTCTCCAGGCTCTGCTGTCCCCTCTCCGGGCCGAAAGGGGAGGCAGCCGTGCCAGCTGGAAGCACCCGCGTTCGAGTCTTCCCCACCCCAGCCTTGTTCCTCCGGGTGGGAACATCGTAGGTAGAAGAACGTGGTCAACATACCTCACTTCTCAATCCACTGAAACTTTGGCTCGTAAGTCTTTGGGCTTATGTGCCCTGGCCCACCCATGGACCACAACTAGGGGCACAGAAACTGAAGGTCAGGTTGGGAAAAAGCCTGCTTGGACTGTAACCCTGAAGCAGGAAGCCCCCAGCCCCATTTCCAGGGCTCCGCAGACTCATCATTCCACAGACTGATGGGGAATGTAGCGTTGCGGACAAGGGACGCTCACAAACTCTGCTGCGACTTTGGGAATCCTAAGTGACCAATATCTGTGTGACTCTTTTGCACATTGCCTTTTTTTTTTTTTTAAAGGGTCCCTGGGTATCTGTTAACAGCGCCCACCCCTTAAAAAAAAAGATGAGGGGCTCCAGACTTGTCAGGGTCTCAGGTTTGACCTTCAGCAGTTCCGAGAACATATGGCCCAAATCTTTTGGGGGAAACCTCACATTTTTTTTTGCTTTAGGTTTTTCTTTCCCCCCCCCGCCCCCATTTTTGATGAGTGTGTACAATGTGTGTACAATCAGCTCCCAACCAAAAATAGAAAAGCAGCAGCTTTTTTTTGGGGGGGGGGGGTTATCCAGCTGCTGTGCCTCTGATTTAATTAATTTAATCGAAATGGATTATTCATTTAACCCTTTAAATCAGCAGGACATTCAGAAAAATATCTGGCGAGTTTCTATCTTCTATGCAAACAAAATACATCCCCAGATTTTCAAATGAAAATTCTAAGATACGTAAAGGACCTTTCCTAAATCCTATATATCCCCCCCCCTCTTTTTATCACCTCATTTAATTCTAATTTCCATCTCTTAAGTGCCAGGGTTATCAAGAGTTCTTCCTGACCTAATCCTTTGAATGAAACACTTCCCGGCTGTCTTAACTCCGTTATGTGGGATTTACACAATCATTCCTCTGGCTGATCCTCGCTTCCCACCCCCCCACCCACCCCAAATTAAACAGCTTTCTTATTTTCTGTCCTAGTAAATGCTACGAAAGAGGAAAGTGCCTTATCTACGTAGCTGTGTGTATAAATTTTAGCTCTTTAATTGGATGCACTTTTCTTTCCTCTCTGAAAACATTCTGTACTGTGTTACGTTGTCGCTGAAATTTCTTGCACTTCAGCTTCAGAGCGCTTCCAGTTACTGCACTTTTCAAACAAGGCTGCCTCTTGGGGGGGGGGGAATAATACTTGATAATAATACTTGGTCTGGATGTGGAAGATCTCTTTCAATAAATGGATCTTGGCATACCGGCAAGTTAATTACCGCAATAAAGAGGTAGCAGCTATCCGGTTTTATCTTGTTGTGGGCCAGACTCGGTTGGTTGGTTTGGAATAATTTAAAGAAATTAATTGTTAACGTGCAGTATTTGTAAGGGTAGTTGGTTTAATGCAACATGTGAGTTTTGTTTGAAAGGGCAAAAAGCGTTGAAGGATCCAGGGAGCATCCAGCCGTTGGCAGCTTTCAGGTTTGTAGACTTCAACTCGCAGAAGTGGCTGGCTGGGGAATTCTGGGAGTTGAAGTCCACAAGTCTTAAAGTTGGGTGCTCCTGGATGATTCCACGCTTCTTGTCCTTTCAAAACAAAATACAAAAACCCGCGTGCCGTGCTATCGTCACCTTTAAGTCTGTAGCCCTTCTTTGTCTTCAACTCAAGGAAAAAATGGTTTTTTGTGTGTGATGTCTCTCGAAAACATGTCTTCCAATAGAGCCTTATTTGTAACTTGACTTGTGTGTTTGCCTTTTGTGTCCTAAAAATCAAGATCTGAACAGTATTCAATCAGAATAGAGCTGGAAGGGACCTTGGAGGTCTTCTAGTCTGACCCCCTGCTCAAGCAGGAGACCCTGTACCATTTCAGACAAGAGACTGTCCAGCCTCTTCTTAAAAAGCTCCAGTGATGGAGCGCCCACGATTTCTGGTGGCAGGTTGTTCCACTGGTTAATCTTTCTCACAATTTACGCTAGAAAAGATGAGGGCAATGGGTCACCTTCCTTACGCCACTGGATTCTAAATCTTAAGAGCCCAATGTGGTCAAGGGCAAGATGAAATGTGAGTTTCAGACTAAGTCTTGCCCAAATCTAGAAGATTGTTTTCAAAATGTCAGTTTTCAGGTAGGCATTTTCCTGTGCAGTATATTATGTAGTAAAGTAGTAGTAGAATAGAATAGAGCTGGAAGGGACCTTGAAGGTCTTCTAGTCCAGCCCCCTGCTCAAGCAGGAGGACCTATACCATTTCAGACACGTGACTGTCTAGCCTCTCAAAAATCTCCAGTGATGGAGCACCCACAACTTCTGGAGGCAAGTCGTTCCGCTGGTTAATTTTCCTCACTGTCAAGAAGTTTCTCCTTAATTCCAGGCTGCTTCTCTCTTTGGTCATTTCCCAACCATTGTTTCTCGTCCTGCCCTCTGGTGCTTTGGAGAATAATTTGACCCCCTTCTCTTCTTTGTGGCAACCTCTCAAATACTGGAATACTGCTATCATGTCACCCCTAGTCTGTCTTTTCTCTAGACTGGCCATATCCAATTTCTGCAGCCGTTCTTATGTTTTTGTCTCCAGGCCTTTAATCATCTTAGTTGCATCTTCTTTGCCCTTTTTTCCAAAGTCTCAACATCTTTTTTTTGTAACGAGGTGACCAAAACTGGATGCCGTATTCCAGGTGTGGTCTACTAAGGCTAAGGTTAATACCGCTTCACAATGCCTTGGTAAGGTCACCTCTGGAATGCTGCATCCAGTTTTGGTCTCCACGATGTAAAAAAGATGCTGAGACTCTAGAAAGAGTGCAGAGAAGAGCAACAAGGATGATTAGGGGACTGGAGGCTAAAACATATAAGGAATGGTTGCTGGAATTGTGTATGTCTAGTTTAACAAAGAGAAGGACGTGGGGGGACATGATAGCAGTCTTCCAATGTCTCAGGGGCTGCCCCAAAGAAGAGGGAGTCAAGCTGTTCTCCAAAGCATCTGAAGGCAGAGCAAGAAGCAACGGATGGGAACTCATCAAGGAGAGAAGCAACCTGGAACTAAGGAGAAACTTCCTGACAGTGAGAACAATTAACCAGTGGAACAACCTGCCTCCAGAAGCGGTGAATGCTCCAACACTGGAAGTTTTTAAGAAGAAACTGGACAGCCATTTGTCTGAAATGGTATAGGGTTTCCTGCCTGAGCAGGGGGTTGGACTAGATGACCTCCA